TGCCGGCAGCACCGTGGCCGTGCTGCAGTCGATCGGTGAGTGGGGAGGGCAGGGGAGCTGAGCTGTGCTGGGTTCATCCCCAGAGGGTTGCACGGGGTTATACGCTTGGCTTGCTGTAGAGACAAACCAGCCCTTTAACCCATCATTGGCCTGAATCACCCAAAACTGTGGGGAAGGGATAAATCCACAATGTGGTAGGAAGAGTCAGGACTTGCTGGGGTAGGGCACCCAAGGCTGAGGACATCGGGGGCCGTGCAGGTAGGCATCTGCTCTTCTGCCAGGAACAACGCCTGCATTCGTCGGCAGCACTGGCTGGAGCCAGAAAGGGGCTCGCTGTGCTCAGGGAGCAGAGCCCGCTCCCAGGCCGGCTCTCCGGCACAGTCTGGAGAGGTCCTTGGCTCTCTGCCCAGAAGTCCTTGGCTATCTCTGTCTGGTGCTCGGTCCCTCAGCAGGCAGCATCGATGATCCCAGGGCATCACGCCTCTCTCTGTCTTTGCAGGAGCTGCAGGTTTCTCTCTTGGTGCCAAAATTGGGCTGACATCTACGCTGGGGCCGCTCGGTGCAGCAGCTGGTGCCACGCTGTGGAACGGGAAGACAGCTCCAGATGACGAGCCCAAGGGTTCTGCCAGGCAGCGTGACAAGCACTGGGAAGCCCTCGCAGACCCCCCCCGTGACTCGGCCGCCCTCTTAAGAGCTGCGGATCTGCTTGAGCAATGAATATTGAAACCAATAAAGGTGGTTTGCAGGTGGGGGTGTTGTGGTGGCTGGTGTGTGGTCGGGGCCCAAGTGCCCACCAAGCGCCTCAGGATTCGCAGTGGTCCGGGAACAGACCCAAACTGGCAGATTTTTCAGTCCTGCACTCTCTCCCCTAAAAAGCCGAGACGCTGGCAAGGCTGTAGATAGGTTTGTTATAAACTATGTTTAATTGGCATTGTGTGTGGTGACGGATGATAGACTGGACTGACATGTGGCACGTGTCCCATACTGTGTCCCAAGCATGGGTGAACAGGGCTCTCCCTGGCAATCAGCTGGGTTTCAATTACTATACTCTCTATAATTACTTACTTAAATGCATCAAGCAACAGTGTTGGTCAACAAGCGGACGAAGTCTTTCGC